CAGTTGTATTGGAATTGGCACATCTCATTTCTATGGAGATTGTTTAGCCATGTACCTTCAGTCATGGTTCATTGACTTTGAATATTTGCATAACTTAAATGTTAAAGTATTGCTGTATTAATTTCAACATTTGCATTATCAAAATTACAAAAAGGCGAGACATATCTCTGTGTTAACAGTTTATTTCGTTTGGTCATGGCGTTCCGGTCTTTCTTCGAGATGTGTATTTTTTTTTGTGATGCAAAACTAGAGTAACAACGTTATAGTTGCAACATTTAGAAAGGATATTTGAAGCTATATCAGAACATTGACATGCATATTGCACAATAACAAATATTGCTCATTGATAAATTTATTACACTTTGATAGTGTCGTGTCTATAAAACTTTATTTATTTTACATTGTGCAATAACAAACCTTTATGAATGAAGTTTCCGAGAATGAATGCAGTTGACAAACACTAAACATCTGTAACTCGGATCAATGTAAACAATGAGACTACAACAACTATCATCATTTTTGAAACATATTGGTAAAGCCAGATCCCCATATATCTTCTCACCACTGACGATGCATGAATGATTAATAAAACTTGTATAGTTATATATATATTTAATTTCTAATGTCTTTTATTATGTTTCCGTTATGCAACTATTTAAAAAAAACCAAGCTAGAGCTTAACTGTTCGCGCATTCCGTGCATTCAAAATTACATGAGCAAATTCCCAATTCAACAGTGAACTCACTGTTACATCGGGCAATTAAAAAAAGGACCGCAAGGATGAAAAGCCAGTAAAAATCGATGTTATTGAAGAATATGTTGAACTGAACGTGCATATTGAACGTATACACTAGAAATGTGACTGTATAATATGGCACTATCTCCCCTCCTACTTTAAACATGTCAGTTATTCCACTATCTCCCTTCCTACTTTAAACATGTCTGTCATTCCGAATCCACTATCTCCCCTCTTACTTTAAACATGTCAGTCATTCCACTATCTCCCCTCCTACTTCAAACATGTCAGTCATTCCACTATCTCGCCTCCTACTTTAAAAATGTCAGTAATTCCACTATCTCCCCTCATGCTTTAAACATGTTAGTTATTCCACTATCTCACATCCTATTTTAAACATGTAAGTCATACCACTATCTCCCTTCCTACTTTAAATATGTCAGTCATTCCACTATCTCCCGTCCTACTTTAAACATGTCAGTCATTTTACTATCTCACATCCTATTTTAAACATGTAAGTCATACCACTATCTCCCTTCCTACTTTAAACATGTCAGTCTTTCCACTATCTCACATCCTACTTTAAACATGTCCGTCATTCCACCATCTCGCATCCTACTTTAAACATGTCAGTTATTTCACTATCTCGCACCCTACTTTAAGCATGTCAGTCATTTTACTATCTCATACCCTATTTTAAACATGTAAGTCAGACCACTATCTCCCTTCCTACTTTAAACATGTCAGTCATTTCACTATCTCATAAACTACTTCAAACATATCAGTCATTCCACCATCTCGCATCCTACTTTAAACATGTCAGTTATTCCACTATCTCCCCTTCTATTTTAAACATGTCAGTAATTCCACTATCTCTAATCCTACTAGCTTTAAACATGTCAGTCATACCATTATCTCCCCTCCTAATTTAAACATGTCAGTTATTCATTTGACGACACAACACAAAATTCAGTAATGCAACAAAGCAGAAATAATTCCCCTTTAACGTCTATATTATAGGATCGCTAACCTTTTTCGTCCCTTTTCCTCGATAAGGAAACCACAAAATCCGATTTGTTCAAACTCTGGGTGATGCTCGCTTTTGCTTGTTTTCTTGAATTGCAGTATAAACCAACATCTAGCTTCCTGTAGTAGCGAACACATTTTGACACTGCTTTCCTTGTTCAATTCTTTGACCTCTTCTGAAATCAAAATCTTATTTTAAAAATTTGCAATTTGAACATACATGACAGTTGAATAAGTGTGTTGTTGCTTTTTGTATCGAAATATGTTTGCCCTTCAAAATAATTTAAAAATATGTTTCAACAGGATGAAAATGAAGTAGTCAGTACTATAAAATTAAGGAGATGTTGTATGATTGCCAATGAGACAACTATTCCCCAGAGTCCAAATGACGTGGATGTTAACAATGATATATATTATAGGTCACCGTTCAGCCTTTAACAATGAACAAAACACCGTATAGTCAGCTATAAAGGACACCGACAGTATGTGAAACAATTCAAACGAGAAAAACCAGAGGTCTGATTTATAAAAAAGAAACAATTAACTAAAAACAAATATAAAAGATCTGAACCAACGCCAACCACTGAATTACAGGCTACACTATTTTCAGGGATGATGTCAACACCACTGTTTTCACAAAAATATGTACGGAAAAATATTAATTCTTTGTAAAAATAAATTTATTATAAACGAAATGGATATTTTAACCTAATACAATTTCGCTTATATGTGGTGTTAAAAGTAGACAATTACAAAGGAGATTTGATATTTACATTCAAGTAACCAGAATATATTATCATACACAAGCATAATTATTTCGGTAATTTGAACTATTGTGATCATACCACATCCTTTCGAAATGTTTAGATTTTGAAAATAACATTGGTAAACTACTGTTCAATCCTTTATAAAAAGTATAGCAGTTTCAAATATAGTGATTGTAAATAAAGACAGTATGGACCATTCTGTACCTGACATTTCTTGTTTACTGTAAACAGTTCTTTTGGTTTGCATTGTTGAATGCAAAACCTTGACAATCAACACAAAAGCATTTGTTTGGAACATGTTATTGATAAATGATAGCTATAATAAAGTGCTTTTGGAAAGGTAAAATATTCTAAAGAATATAATAATATCTACTAAATGCCAATATAAAGTACAAAATGTACTTCAATGACCGCCCCAATTATTAAAAATACAGATTTTATCATGAGGGTGGAATCTGCATCAATCCTGGGAATTTTGATATCGGAGTTGAAAAAAGAAAATATTTTTTAACAAACTTCAAAGAATGTATTGGGATACTGGTCGAGGGCCAGTTACCGTCAGATTTCAGTTACTGTCAAATTTTGCATCTAAGGGCGTCTTAAACCAAAATAAATGCATTTGTATAAAAAAAGTACATAGCATTACTTACAACAGAATGTTGGTTGTCGTTACTGAACAGAGTTCTGACTACGTTTTCGCAAAGTCATTGTTTATTTGCGCCAACGTAACGGTTACGTTGCGCACATGAATTGTAAAGTACAGAGTACGATAAAGGCCTTTTTTGGCCTATATTTTACCGAAATTTGAACTCTTACTTTTAAACTTTAATTCAAAATTTAAAAATATTTCTTTGATTTAACATAACACATGACTGCACAGAAAAATATAAATCATAAAACAAGATGAACTGTGAATTGAAACAATACTTTTTATATCATATTTTATCTGATAAAAAAAATATTTCTCCAGTTATCAAATATATATATTGACTCAACATGGCAGAAATATTTTAAATTGTCGACTTATTTATATTCCATTTGTGCAGTCTTTTGTAGATTTTTTAAACGCTCATTCAAAGTCATATAAAACTTCAAATTTTAGAAAAGTTGACTATGTTTTATAAACTTGAATGGCTTAGCTTCACTATAAAATACGCATACGTCAACTTTACTGTAAAATGAAATCCTTTATATTATCAAAATCTTCACAAATGTGCTGCTATTGAATTATTGTCTTCCCGTACTCTAATTCGCTGATATTTTCCCGTATGCAGTGAATTTAAATACGAGACCTCTCGTCAGAACTTCGGCTACCGCAGAGAGCAACTGCAAGGGGAGGTCAATAGTAATTAATGGTTCATAAAGAACAAATTCAATACACCAAATCAATTTACAGCTGTAAAGGAAAACTTTATATAACAATTGTGAACGTATGGAAAATACAAAAAAAATATCATGGCTCTATCAATTCACTTATTTTTTCATGTGCCTCACATGCGCTTTGTGTTCACGTTGATTGTTTATCAATGTCACGATCCGGTAAACTACTGCAACAAACTCTGATGTTGATTAGCTTGCAATCAACAATCACTGAATGAAATATTATTTGTCGATAATACGTTAAAGATTCGAAATAAATGTAACAAAAACGTGCATCGAATAAAGTTTAATATTTATGCATACATTGGTTCAATAATTTCGATAACATCACAATTACAAGAAACACGTTTTATATGACTTTTAAGTAAGGATTTTTAACAGGATATGATAAAAAATTATTCATATAGTAAATTAATGTAACAACAGAAAATGTACCTTAGGCGTACATGAAAATTAATTGCAGCAAGTAAATACAACACTTTGCTCGGAGTACATTCTTATGTCAGAAAATAATAAAGATAAGGTACATTTTGGGGATTATTATGAAAATGAAACATTGTATGGAACCATTACTTGTGATATTATTTTTAAATTCAGAAGAATGGCTTGTAGAAAATGAAAATATCTATGCTTGAGTAATTTCATACCGGAATTGTTTTTATTGGTAAAAACCAACTGGTTTATTTCCGACACATTTTTGCCTAAGGTAATATAAAGCACATACGTCGTTCAAAATATTCTTTGCCCAATAAAATGGAATACACAAAATACTTTTCCCCAAATAGTGGAAAAAGGATTCTAATCTTTCGGTTACCCCGTCGTTTAAATTCGTTATATAAGGAATAAATTATTACCAATATTAACATTATCATGTTAAAAAAAGTCACCAATAAATATGCGTGAACCCTCAGGGTTCCTCAAAACTCATACAATAAAGTCAGATATAAAAGGCCCCGACATGAAAATATTTTTTAATTTTTTGCGCGTGTGGGGTAAGAAGGGTGTCATATGTTATTTGAAATATTTATACAAACATGTTTTTTTTCACACAAAATCGTCGTTCATTAATGATAAAGACAGTTAATGCAATTCCTTGTAAAATATTATTATGATAAAACAAAGAACATAGTACTGTAACGCTCTACATCTTTCGCAAAACAGCTGTTGGAAAAACTGCATGTATTATGCATTGATAGGGATTTTAAATGATTTAATGTCAAAATGTTGATGTATATCCTATTTGGATTTAATATAATTTCTTCTCCGACAGGTAAGAATATTTGTGTGTAAAACATGATAAACTATGATGAACATAAAAATGATGAGATGTGGTATGATGATGATGATGTACTGGTCAATGAGACAAATATCAAACAGAGTCCACAAATGAACGGATTTAAGCAACAATATTTCACCGTGCAGCCTTCAACAATGGGCAAAACTAGCTCTATCGTCCGATATAAAAGCCCCCACATTACAAAATACGAAAAACAACCGTCCTAATTTATGACAAAACAATGAACGAAAAATAAAAATGACAAACAGCAAACAACGACAACCACTGATTTACGGGCTCCTGATTTTGGACAGGCATATATTGAATATATACATGAGTGTGTATATATATATTTAGTAATCATAAGTTTGAACGTTGTTTTCAATTTAGACTTGTATATATATTTAGTTATATAATTCTGTACACTGTTTCAAAAAACGTTTTAGAATATATATATATATATATATATAAAAGTCTAAATTGAAAACAACGTTCAAACCTATGATTGCGTTGGATAAAAACCGCAATTTTTATACGCGTGCATGTAAAACAAATTTCTTGGTAGAGGGGTCTAAATACAGCACAAACAACAATTTCCAAAAGACCAAAAAAAGTGAAAAAGTCTATTTTAACAAAACGCATTTGACTAACAGGTCGAACAACTGATGTTCTTAAACCCTGCTGACTGCCATTGGCGATTGCCAAATAAATTGATCACCAGATCTAACAAAATGGATCTTAATATTAATATAATATATATATATATATATATATATATATGTGGTATATATACGTTTATGGTATACTATATTTCAATATTTTGGTATGCAGCATCATGTAGGTTTAGCAACTACATGTATATGATGTAAGTAGTTGTACTTTTTAGTATATATCAATAATTTATCTTATGCTATTTAGTTGGTTCATGGGAGTATTATATTATCAATATAATACTTCCAAGGTTGGTTGGACTGGGTATTTCTTAAATGGTATCATTCCGTCGTCTTTATCATTGGGTTCAGACGCTTGGGACCTGGATGGCTATAAAACGAGCTAATAGTAAATTTCACTAGGAAAGTACTGAATTAATGACATGTGTAGTGGTACACACAGATCGAACGGTAAAGTTTGTCGTCTTTTTTCTTATATAAACTCCCTTTTCAAATCATATAAAAATAAGAAGATGTGGTATGATTGCTAATGAGACAACTCTCCACAAGAGACCAAATTACAACCGTACGGCCTTCAACAATGAGTAAAACCCATACCGCATAGTCAGCTATAAAAGGCCCCGAAATGACTAATGTAAAATAATTCAAACGAGAATATTAACGGCCTGATTTATGTACAAAATAATGAACGAAAAACAAATACAAACGACAACCACTGAATTATATGCTCCTGACCTGGGACAGGCATATACAGAATGTGGCGGGGTTAAACTAGTTTGAAAGCGCGCCAACTATCCCCATCCTGGGACCGTGGTGTAACAGTACAACATAAGAACAAACTATAAAAATCTTTTAAAAAGGGCTTAAGTCATCAGATCGATACAAAACAAAAATACATGTAACAAAAACACAGAGTGGACGTGGCAGTGTACTTATACATCCCCACAACAAAAAGACACTTAAATATAGATCTGAGAGTACTCACAGTTACTGATGACATGTTTACTAACTAATATATGAATGAAAAACAACATGATTACTTTAAGTGATATCAGTTTGTGTGTCAACACATTGTTAACTATAAATATACATAACAAAACATACATATCACAAACAAATACACATGTTGGCCTTAAAATAACTTACAAGTACTATTTTCTTTACCAAACAAGACTTTGTTTATCGGAATAAGTGAGTAGTGATACTCAATTTATTTACTTTACAATGTAAGCTGAAGGCGAAAATACAAAATTAGAAATAGAACATTATAATAAAAATTGTGTCGCAAACATTAATTGGCAGCTTTGCAACCAGTTTCGTCATTAAATTGTGACAATATTGACAGTCCCACCTTTTACCCTAACCAGTCTCAACACTTGTCTAACTATTTCCTGTGTTCTGTCACACAGTGATCTCGACCAAACGATTGCAACACTGTAACATATATATTGCAATGTCGAGATTGTTTCAACCGAAAGATACTTTTATTTTGAAACTACTGGAAATGACCAATGAAAATACAGAGAACTGAACTTTTCATGGCTGTAAAAATTGTAATTTCATTTGTAAGAAGCAACTTTAAACAAAGACTTGAACGACGTACGAAACATTGAGATTTGCTGTCCGTATAGCTCGCAGTTTAAGGTACACAAGTTAACCATATTAACGAAAACTTCAAATACAAATGATTTTCCAAGAGTGGTGAACTTCATATTGACATTTTTACCGTTATTTGACGATGGTCACCTTACAGGCGGAATACGTACACGATCGTACATATTTTTACAAAGCTGTAACAACAATATGTGAAAACCATATAAAATTGTATAATGTAACTCCAAATCATACACTTAGATTGCAAAGTATTCAAAAACATAATTAGAGATTGAAAAATTCTTTGAAATAAATTCCTGTTAAAAGAGCATCTAAACGGTGTCGAAAATCGCTAAGATGAGAAATCGAACTCAACTGCCGATGTTACAAAATAATCGCGCATAGACAATGACATAGCAAATTCAGTGGCTGATTTAAAGCAATGTCAACAACAACATGTCAAGTTCATAACTCCTTTGAAAGCCATAATCAAAGATTTACGACAAGATGTCAAAACGATTCGTTGTATAATAACATTATTTCAGATCAAAGATTGACTGGTGTAGGCACACTCAAAGCCAAAGTCGATCTTGTCAATAAAAAGTTAAGGGACATTGCTCAGGCATATGAACATCTCGAAACTGTAGTAGCCTTATCTAGTAAATATGTGTCTGTTCTGAGGAAAAAAAGTCAATGTCGAAAAAAAAAACCGTAAATCTCGTGACAATAAACTTTTACAGGCACCATAAAAGCCAATTAATGTTCATGAAAAAAACCCATTTAATGTGAACCTTCTTAAGTTTTAAGCACAAATAGTGGGAATATCTGCAAAAATTAATGAACCTAAAATTGTTTAAATATAAACCAAACCGACTTTTCAAGGCCAGCTGAGTGCATCAGTGCATACGCATACAATAAGCAATGATATTCGATGATTGCATGTTGTTTGGTGAGTTTCGTGTTGCTCAGTCTTTAGTTTTCGATGTTGTGTTTTGTGTACTGTTGTCTATTTGTCTGTTTGTCTGTTTGTCTTTTTCTTTTTTAGCCATGACGTTGTCAGTTTATTTTCGACTTATGAGTTTGAATGTCCCTTTGGTATCTTTCGCCTCTCTTTTTGATACACATTGCAAACGTCTTTGATTTCAAATGTGAGTTACAAGACTTTAAACTCAAATGATATGCTTCAGTCAGAACATGTTAAAAGAAGACTTAACAAAAGTAAAAATTAAGGAACAGAAAAATCACCGGAAGACCTCGTACTTCAAGAAAATACTTTTTTACGTTTCAAATGACGCCATTATGGTGTTAATTGGGGAAATCCAAATATTCATGGTAGAACCAGAAATCGAGTCGATTATTATTTTATCAGTGGAATCAGGAGAGACTCAGTCGCACATAATAGCCTGAGATAATTTCTTCAAGAGAAGAAAACGATGTGCGCTACACATCGGAACTGTAAATGCTTCAGTTCGGAAGTATCTTCCTTTGTGGATACTTACACACTACAGCTCTCTCTGATGAATTGTTTTAAGAATATGTTTATTTACTGCACGAACAGACAATGCCATGTTTTGTGGTGATCTAAATGCGACAGTTCGAAGACCACGTGTCAGTGTTGTTCAAGGCGATTGCAGCAAACTTTTGCAAAGAGTTTAAGACGAGTTAACCTTGATTTCATTAAACACACAGACTTTTGTAAACAAATCTATATACACCTTTTAAGAGCTATGAGAATGGTTCTTATCCAACAATTATAGATCATATATAATAATTGATCGCGACGACATGCCTTTGAAACCTAAAAATGTAAATATTCTTGGTGATTATAGACTAATCTACTATGAACATCAAAATTATTTATTTTGTAAAAATATTTCCTTTCTCCATTTGAACTGTACACGTATACCTAACAACAAAAATATTTTCATTTACCTGTGTTTAAAGTAATTGCAAATGGCTGATATTTTTGTTCAAGCATATTGTTTTTCTCAAATTGTTTAACATTTAACAGCAGTATAACATGTTACTTTAATTATTATTCCCTTAGTTTATTTATTTTGTATTTACATTGTATCATAGATCAAATTTATTTGTTCAGTGTATGTTCACTGGTGTTAATATGTCCTTTGATTGAGTGAAGCCATTTCAAATGATATTTCATAGTGTGTCTTTCTATGTTGTGATGTTACATTATTGTTTCAGATAAGGGTGAAGATTGTCTACCATTAAAACGTTTAACTCGCTGCAAAGGTTTGCACCTGTCCTAAGTCAGGAATCTGATGTTCAGTAGTTGTCGTTTGTTGATGTGGTTCATAAGTGTTTCTCGTTTCTCGTTTTTTATATAGATTAGACCGTTGGTTTTCCCGTTTGAATGGTTTTACACTAGTAGTTTTTGGGACCCTTTATAGCTTGCTGTTCGGTGTGAGCCAAGGCTCCGTGTTGATGACCGTAATTTGACCTATAATGGTTTACTTTTATAAATTTTGACTTGGATGGAGAGTTGTCTCATTGGCACTCATACCACATCTTCTTATATCTATAAACTTTTCCGACCATTTTCCTATTATATTCTCCTTTTATTAAGGCGACTCACTTACTCGTCTTAGTCTGTTTTGCATTTCAACACATATTGCTTGGAACAAATTTTATCAAATAGTATTGTAACCGATTATGAGTTTGATGTTTCTTAGAACATATAAAAAGTAGATACAAATCAAAATGACATAGCACAATATTATTCTGAAATTGTATACCCTTTCTATCGGTAAACATTGAAGACCATATTGAAATGATCACCTATCAGAGTTGCATGATTTCATGATTCTACGTCGCAATGTATAGATCAGTGACCATCAACCGCTTGGAACAGAGTATGAGTCGTATTAGGCATATAAAAACTCCAATAATTGTTTTAACTCACCCATATCAAGAGTATGTAGCCGACATGTCTAAGGACATTGGAAAATCTAGCGACGTAGATCAAAGCTTAGCATGGTCTATAATTAATCAGTAAGTCGACGACCATGGAACACTTCTGATAGATTATTGATGTTGATTGAACAATAAACTTATAAATAGTCCCAAGCATTTGTTCAGATTTTGCAAGCAATCGCCAAAAGTTCCGAGCACAATAAAGATAAAATCGTCATTAAACATTTGAAACTTATTTGCAATCGGTGTGATAATAATTAATTGGATCAGTTCATTTTGAAGAAAAAACTATAGAAAAAATATATAACAAAAATACCGAACTCGTAGGTAAATTCAAAAAGGGGAAGTTCATAAAAACTGACAAAAATCAATCGTTATAAATCAAAGGAACGAAATTTGTTATGAACCTGCCAAGCGAGAAAAAGTTACTGCTTAATGGAATATCCTGCGAACATCTTAAATACAGAGGGAAATTACTATTGTAATATTTGTGAAAACTTTTTGAATTCATTTTTTATCAGCGTGTTTATACACCTGTTACTTGAAAAACTGGTGTAGTAATTCCGTTGTTAAGGCGCACTTAAATATTCAGAGTATGATATCGAATTTTAACGACGTGGAAGATCTTTATACCTTGTATATCAAAAGTGTTCGAAAATAACTGGAGAAAATAAACTAAAATATTCAATGAATGACTAATTCTTTTTTCTCGAATACTCATCAAAAGGCATATTAGAAGTACCTTTTGTCATGTTAGTAGTATTTACTCCTCTTTTAATCTATAAGAAACTGCACCACTCAAAGAGAGATATACTAGTATAGTTCTATACAAGAGACTTTTCATGACAACAAGAAGTCGTTTGAAACGGTTAACCATATTTGACTGCAAATTAAGCTAATTGACTTTGGAATTCCTTGGAATTTGTGGAAATTACTTGATCAAATAGATAGTGGCCTTAAAAGATGTTTGAACTGTAAAATCAACTGTAAGATGTTTTTTTTGTTGGCTCATCAAGTACGTTCATTTTATAAAGATGTCCTGGTGATGATAAAAATATGTTCAGGATGTAGACCCCATATGTCAGCCCATATTTCAAAATATAATCTTATTGTAGTGTGTGAAGAATGTGATGTGAGAGGACTCGCCTTCAGTAAAGACATGTTTATTGTGAACAATGTGGAGGTGAGTTTTTTTTAGAAAAAAATTATATAAACAGATTAGATATGTATCTTTCAAATGTAGCAAAATTCATAGCAAAGAACACGTAAACTTCGCCAGAAAGTCTTACGACTAATTCTAGGACTAGCAAAACATATAAGGTTCATGAAAAAACATATGTTAATAGGTTGGTTTATAGAAAAACTCATCATAGATATCAGGTTTAAAAACAAAAAGGAGTTTTACTTTTTTCAAATCAATAAAAATGGTCCTCTTTAAAGTTCAAGTATTTAAATTTGGTGAATATATGTGAATTGTCAACTTCGAAATATGTGTTGCCAGATATTGAAAACATAAAGATGTGGGAAATGAAATAAAACAGGACTTACTAAATACAATTTATAACACCTCATATGTACAATGTAATATTTAATATATGTTAGCTCATATTGAAGTGTTAATTATTGTGAATGGAGTTTTTACTTTTGTTTCGTTTTTGTATTTTTTTTTTTGTGTCGGTTGTTTTTCGACATATGAATTTTGATTTTCATTTGGTATTTCCCGCATCATTTTTAAAAGAAAAAATCATGTATATACATATACAAATGCTACCCAAAGTCATGAATATTGTCATCAATGGTACAGGACGGAAATAATTTCATGTAACAAGAGATCAAGTACGGATCAGAGAGGGTTTTGAGATTAATTTGATATAAATGTATATCTATATGTAAGTCTAGATCAATGTAAAATTGCTGCTACGTTTGACACAAGAAATTTTTGTTTGTTTTAACAGACAAACCTCACCAATGACAATCGGCTTGGTTACGATACCTGCTGGCTTGTCGATTCGACCATCTGGAATCCCTGAAGCCGGTTATGGCGTATTTGCTGAGAGATCGTTTCCTAAGGGTACCAGATTTGGTCCATATGGTGGAGAAATTACAGAAACCGTTGATAACTGGTCCTATGCATGGAATGTTTACGGTGACGATGATTCTGTTAAGTATTATGTTGACGGTTACTTCAAAAACAATTCAAATTGGTTACGATATGTAAATTGTCCAAGAACGGAAGGAAACAAAGGAAAATTTGTATGTCTTACAATTAAACAACGAAATTTTTACGTTACGTACGAATGTATAACGGCAGGAACAGAGTTGTTTGTTTGGTATGGACCTGATTATTGGGAAGACCTGGGGTTACAGAGAAAACCGGAAGATTATCAAGAACGGTTTAATGAGGAAAATATTAGATATGTTATTGAAAACTCAATAACGGGTAGGTAATGCAAGAAAAAAAATTGATAAAAAAAAGCTTTGTTCACTTAACAGTAAAGTTTTAATCATTATCTTATGTTCCAACCCTAAAAATCAAAAATCTGTAGAATTTTCTAAATTCCATTACAGTATAGGGAATTATTGTGGAAATATGATTCCACTTGCAGGAATTTGCACACTCACCTTTACGGTAATATTAGTTATAAAATCAAATACGTGTATGAAAATTTTTCCTTAATTATTGATCAGCATTATAATTATTTATTTGTTGAAATTGTTGGTATTCATAGCGTCTAGTAGTTTTGATATTGAATATATTAGTAAACAATCTCTATGCATTTTTATACCATCAGATGTAAGACGTTCTATTAACTGCGACTTTTATTTTATATGGTAGCATTTATTGTTGTTTTTTGATTTATGCCTGATATACCGGTATAATGGAAGTTGGCTGATTAATCTTGCACGTATTTCTTTGTAAAACTCCCTCTTTTTCTGATCGAGATTTAAAGCTAGTAGGTTGGTGTTTTAAGAAATCTGTAAACAAATCTATACACACTTTTTAAGAGCTATGAAAATGGTTCTTATCCAACAATTATAGATCATAAATAATAATTGATCGCGATGACATGCCTTTGAAACCTAAAAATGTAAATATTCTTGGTGATTATAGACTAATCTACTATGAACATCAAAATTATTTTGTAAAAATATTTCCTTTCTCCATTTGAACTGTACATGTATACCTAACAACAAAATTATTTTCATTTACCTGTGTTTAAAGTAATTGTAAATGACTGATATTTTTGTTCAATCATACTGTTTTTCTTAAATTGTTTAACACTTCACAGCGGTATAACATGTTACTTTAATTATTCTTCCCTTAGTTTATTTATTGTGTATTTATATTGTATCATAAATCAAATTTATTTGTTCAGTGTATGTTCACTGGTGTTTATATGTCTTTTGATTGAGTTAAGCCATTTCAATTGATATTTTATAGTGTGTCTATCTATGTTGTGATGTAACACTATTGTTTCAAATAAGGGTGAAGGTTGTGTACCATTAAAACGTTTAAACCCGCTGCAATTGTTTGCACCTGTCCTAAGTCAGGAATCTGATGTTCAGTAGTTGTCGTTTGTTGATGTGGTTCATAAGTGTTTCTCGTTTCTTGTTTTTTATATAGATTAGACCGTTGGTTTTCCCGTTTGAATGGTTTTACACTAATATTTTTACGGGCCCTTTATAGCTTGCTGTTCGGTGTGAGCCAAGGCTCCGTGTTGATGACCGTACTTTGACCTATAATGGTTTACTTTTATAAATTTTGACTTGGATGGAAAGTTGTCTCATTGGCACTCATACCACATCTTCTTATATCTATAAACTCTTCCAACCATTTTCCTATTATATTCTCCCTTTATTAAGGCGACCCACTTACTCGTCTAAGTCTGTTTTGCATTTCAACACATATTGCTTGGAACAAATTTTATAGTATTGTAACCGATTATGAGTTTGATGTTTCTCAGAACATATAAACAGTAGATACGAATCAAAATGACATAGCACAATATTATTCTGATATTGTATACCCTTTCTATCAGTAAACATAGAAGACCATATTGGAATGATCACCTATCGGAGTTGCATGATTTCATGATTCTACGTCGCAATGTATGGATCAGTGACCATCAACCGCTTGGAACAGAGTACGAGTCGTATTAGGCATATAAAAACTCCAATAATTGTTTTAACTCGCCCATATCAAGAGTATCTAGCCGACATGTCTAAGGACATTGGAAAACCTAGTGACAGAGATCAAAGCTTAGCATGGTCTATAATTAATCAGTAAGTCGACGACCAAGGAACACTTCTGATACAATATTGATGTTGATTGAACAACAAACTTATAAATAGCCCAAAGCATTTTTTTAGATTTTGCAAATCTTTTTTGAAGCAATAGCCAAAAGTTCCGAGTTTAATGAAGATAAAATCGCCATTAAACATTTGAAACTTATTTGCAATCGATGTGATAATGATTAATTGGATCAGTTCATTTTGAAGAAAAAAAAACTATAGAAAAAATATAAAACAAAAATACCGAATTCAAAGGTAAGTTCATAAAGGGGAAGTTCATAAAAACTGACAAAATCAATCGTTATAAATCAACGAAACGAAAGTTGTTATGAACCTGCCAAACGGGAAAAAGTTACTGCTTAATGGAATATCCTGCAAACATCTTAAATACGGCGGGAAATTACTATTGTAATATTTGTGAAAACTTTTTGAATTCATTTTTTATCAGCGTGTTTATTTACTTGAAAAAACTGGTGTAGTAATTCCGTTGTTAAGGCGCACTTAAATATTCAGAGTATGATATCGAATTTTAACGACGTGGAAGATCTTTATACCTTGTATATCAAAAGTGTTCGAAAATAACTGGAGAAAATAAACTAAAAAATTCAATAAATGACTAATTCTTTTTTCTCGAATACTCATCAAAAAGCATATTAGAAGTACCTTTTGTCATGTAAGTAGTATTTACTCCTCTTTTAATTTATAAGAAACTGCATCACTCAAAGAGAGAAATACTAGTATAGCTCTATACAAAAGACTGTTCATGACAACAAGAGGTCGTTAGAAACGGTTAACTATATTTGATTGCAAATTAAGCTAGTTGACTTTGGAATTCCTTGGAATTTGTGGAAATTACTTGATCAAATGAATAGTGGCCTTAAAAGATGTTTGAAATGTGAAATCAACTGTGAGATGTTTGTTTTTGTTGGCTCATCAAGTACGTTAATTTAATAAAGATGTCCTGATGATGACAAAAATATGTCCAGGATGTAGACCTTATTTATTAGCCTATATTTCAAAAATATAATCTTATTGTAGTGTGTGAAGAATGTGATGGGAGAGGACTCGCCTTCAGTAAAGACATGTTTATTGTAAAAAATGTTGAGGTAAGTTTTATTTAGAAAAACGTGATATAACATAATACAAATTCTAGGACTAGTTAAACATATAAGGTTCATGAAAAAACATAAGTTAATAGGTTGGTTTATAGAAAAACTCATCATAGATATCAGGTTCAAAAACAAAAAAGAGTTTTACTTTTTTCAAATCAATAAAAATGGTCCTCTTTAAAGTTCAAGTATTTAAATTTTGTTGAATATATGTAAATTGTCAACTTCAAATATGTGTTGCCAGATATTGAAAACATAAAGATGTTGAAAATCAAATAAAACAGGACTTACTAAATACAATTTATAACACCTCATATGTACAATGTAATATTTAAATATGTTAGCTCATATTGAAGTGTTAATTGTGAATGGATTTTTTATTTTTGTTTCGTTTTTGTATTTTTTTTTTGTGTCGGTTGCTTTTCGACATATGAATTTTGATTTTCATTTGGTATTTCCCGCATCATTTTTAAAAGAAAAAATCATGTATATACATATACAAATGCTACCCAAAGTCATGAATATCGTCATCAATGGTACAGGACGGAAATAATTTCATATAACAAGAGATCAAGTATGGATCAGAGAGGGTTTTGAGATTAATTTGATATAAATGTATACCTATATGTAAGTCTAGATCAATGTAAAATTGCTGCTACGTTTGACACAAAAAATTTTTGTTTGTTTTAACAGACAAACCTCACTAATGACAATCGGCCGTTGGCTACGCTACCTGCTGGCTTGTCGATTCGACCATCTGGAATCTCTGAAGCCGGTTATG